AGTAATACACACACTCTACAGGTGTGATGTTACACCTGTCTATAATGACCACACTGCTTACTTGGGAGATCTCTGAGGGGTGTACAGTAATACACACACTCTACAGTTGTGATTTTACACCTGTCTATAATGACCACACTGTTTACTAAGGAGATCTCTGAGGGATTTACAGTAATACACACACTGTACAGGTGTGATGTTACACCTGTCTATAAGATAATGACCATACTGTTTACTTGGGAGATCTCTGAGGGGTGTACAGCAATATACAGACTGTACAGGTGTGATGTTACACTTGGTTATAATGACCACACTGTTTACTTGGGAGATCTTTGAGGGGTGTACAGTAATACACACACTGTACAGGTGAGATGTTACACCTGTCTATAATGACCACACTGTTTACTTGGGAGATCTTTGAGGGGTGTACAGTAATACACACACTGTACAGATGTGATGTTACACCTGTCTATAATGACCACACTGTTTACTTGGAGATCTCTGAGGGGTGTACAGTAATACACAGACTGTACACATGTGATGTTAGACCTGTCTATAATGACCACACTGTTTACTAGGGAGATCTCTGAGGGATTTACAGTAATACACACACTGTACAGGTGTGATGTTACTCCTGTCTATAATATAATGACCATACTGTTTACTTGGGAGATCTCTGAGGGGTGTACAGCAATATACAGACTGTACAGGTGTGATGTTACACCTGTCTATAATGACAACACTGTTTACTTGGGAGATCTCTGAGGGGTGTACAGCAATATACAGACTGTACAGGTGTGATGTTACACTTGGTTATAATGACCACACTGTTTACTTGGGAGATCTCCTAGGGGTGTACAGTAATACACAGACTGTACACATGTGATGTTAGACCTGTCTATAATGACCACACTGTTTACTAGGGAGATCTCTGAGGGATTTACAGTAATACACACACTGTACAGGTGTGATGTTACACCTGTCTGTAATGACCACACTGTTTACTTGGGAGATCTCTTAGGGGGGTACAGTAATACACAGACTGTACAGATGTGATGTTATACCTGTCTATAATGACCACACTGTTTACTTAGGAGATCTCTGAGGGATGTACAGTAATACACACACTGTACAGGTGAGATGTTACACCTGTCTATAATGACCACACTGTTTACTAAGGAGATCTCTGAGGGATTTACAGTAATACACACACTGTACAGGTGTGATGTTATACCTGTCTATAATATAATGACCATACTGTTTACTTGGGAGATCTCTGAGGGGTGTACAGTAATATACAGACTGTACAGGTGTGATGTTACACTTGGTTATAATGACCACACTGTTTACTTGGGAGATCTCTGAGGGGCGTACAGTAATACAAAGACTGTACAGGTGGGTATATCGACCACAATGTTTACAATGTTGAAATTAAATACTATAGGGTCGTTTATTATGCCTCAAATATGGAGTTGGGGGCGGGAAATCAGAATCATTAAGTCACCAGATTATATATATAAACCTGGTGCCCTATAGAAATCAAAGTGTCCCTCTGTCTGTTCGTTTATCTACACTATCATTTTCGGATATTATCTCAAAATCAAGAATTATAAAATTTCTGAAATTTAACATGTGATCAATTGTTTAATGTAGATATGCAAGATTGACTAAAAAACTTTAAAGGTCAAAGTTGAGGTAACAGCTGCTAAAATAAGACAATAAGACGGAAGGTATACTGTCTACGATACACTATTATAACATCTCCAACGCTCCAACATAGGACTTTCAGGTGGTAACTGTTAGTATATTTGTGTATGGTGGATGGCCTACATGGATACCATTTAATTAAAACATGCTGTTTTAATGATGTAAAAATAAAAAGCCCATTTTTAGGTCACCTGAGACAAAGTCTCAAGTGACCTATTGCGATCGCCTTTTGTCCGTCGTCATCCGTCGTCCGTCGTCCGTCGTGCGTCCGTAAACAATTTACATTTTCGACTTCTTCTCCAAAACCCCTGAACCAATTTCAATGAAATTTTGCAGGGACCTTCCATGGACAAAGGTCAACAAAAA